CCTTTTCAATTAAATTCTTATAGTAACTTAATAAAAACAAATCAAAACTTAGTCGCCACTTGGGTTCAATTTTGGCACAAGGGATATTAAGCAAAGTGATTTATCAAAAGTTATGCGAAAATTCTCAAATTAATTAATTTTTTGTAGTTATTTGGAATTAAATAGAGCGTAGTTTGCATAAAGAAATTTACTAAGAAATTTAGAGAGAAATGAAAGATAAATGAAATTATGTACCTTCGCACGCGTTACAGCAATTGTTTTCACTATTTTTTTTTAATTTCGGCAACACTACTTTTATTCCCATTAAGCTATCTAAACGGTAATAAATAAAGTGTTTTGGCATATACTCAGTATGGTTTAATATATTTTTAACAACTTAAGCCTATTTCTAACTTAAAAATAAAATTTTGGTTTTTTCGTTTTCATGAACCTCTGCCACAGAAATGCTCACATATTTTTAATAGTTTATACTTCTCATACATATTGTTGGCAAAATCTGTAAACAAAATTGTTGGCATCATATTTTATATGAATATTTGAATTTTTGTAACGCGCCGCTCATGTCACGTAGGCTACAGCGCGCACCCCTGCGAGCTATAAGCTTGTTTAGCAGACAAAACTTTAAAACTCAATCGATAACATACAGCACGAATAATTAATGTTCTGCATTATTTTTCCTAGAATAAATTATATAAATTCTTTGATTCATAAAATGCGGTATTTTCTAACGTATATAAATATCTCAGTAGCAGAGGTTTATTTTTTTGAGTTTATCTTCCGAAATATAAAGTCTCAGGTAAAAAGCACAATAATGAATAATGCAAAATTTTTTTGTCCAACGACTTTTAACCAAAAAAAAACCATAAAAGAACAACAACAACTCGAATTCAACAAGTCACAACAAATAAGAAACTGGCGGGACCAACCAAAGAGGGCAACACAATCATAATTGCATCTACAAGAATGAAGAATGTGGCAGTCGCAACTGCAAATTACGCTCATTAAATGTGCAACAACAGCAGCTCGTATATCAGAATTCGGCACTTTCGAAAGTGCAGACGGCGGCTGACTACGGTTGGCTGTGCGGGTTGAAAGGCCAGTAAATGCAATGAAATCAGTGCAGGCAATGCAAACTCGATTGCAGAATTCTCTTACACTCACTTCAATACATATGTAAGGACATTTTTGGGTGTAGCTATATTGTATGTATGAAAGTGAACATGAACATTATTATCACCTTGCGCACAAGTCTGTACGAATCAACGTAATTTACGAATATTTCTTTTTTTTTTAGACTTATCGTCTTCTTCGGCATTTAAGATCTCCGCAATACATTCATTCATCCAGCAATACGATTCAATTCGTTTTGCTTCTTAAATGCTGCTGCTGTTACCTTCCATTCACCATTCGAGCCACCGTAAATGCTTTCATTACATTTGTCGCCATCGAGTGTTGTTGTTTGTCGGTCAACATTGACTCTTGATATATATTTTTGTTGGTCGTCGCATTCATGCTACATTTGCTCAATATGCGTTAATGTGACTTGTTCTACATGCAAGTGGCATGATGAAGTGCGTGTATACACTCTCCAAGCACCGCTGTAAGTCCACGACCCTGATGTCTGTGATCATTATACATATATCAACTGGATGTCTGTTAATAAAAACTGCTTATAAATATTTATACATATGTATGTATGTACTTATGTTTGTGGATATTCATGTACATGTGTCGTACTTTGATTGGTATGCCTGTTGCTGCTCATCAGTTCGATATACATAGCTCTTTGATTTCGTTGAATTGTGGGATTTTAATTAATCAGTACAAAGATTAAAGTTTTGCCGGAGGAGTAGGCGGAAAAAATTGATTGGGACTTTCCGGTGTGCGAAAATTCGTTCACTTGTCGCTTTTCAGCGAGCCGCTTCTGTATTAATTCTCAAAACATACGTACTTCTCACACGCTTGCCAGTCACTTTCAGATGCGCGAACTACATTCACCACTTGGTATTCCCAAGAATTCGTCTTCATTACCAGAAATTGGTTAAGAAAATAAAACAAAATAAAAGTATAAAAAAATGCCTTAAGCTGGTAATATTGCGACAGCACCAATTCAAAATTTTAACATGTTCTGCGCGTATTTAGTGCTTGCACGCTTTAGCCAGTTCGCTACGCTTTAGTTGTCTGCAATAGTCAAGACTACAGCAGCCACCTCAAGCGATAAGCTTAATAAAATAAAATTTATCCAAAAGGTGTGGGCGACAAATTGGCTAATTTTAAAAAGCTTATACATATGCAACTCTTTATATGTATACAGGGTGGCCCAAATAACACCTACCAATGTTAAACACGAATAACTTCATTATTTTTTTTTAATAATATTGTTATTTTCTTTCTGCATGTTATACATAGTTAATCTCTTGGAAAATCATAATCGATACTTACAGTGTACAACAACGCATTAAAACTATCGATTTTTCTATTCTCGTCAACGACCAATTGTTATGACGCAGCTCATGAATGAAAGTATCGCTTATGATTAGGAGTTTGGTCGACCGTTTTTAGGAACGGGGTCGAGCGCACGTTTAGTACATTTAAGGCTTTTCTTCGCGAACATCTAATAAAAATGCTGCCAGAAAACTTCTAAATGCACTACAACTATAGAGATTAAAGTTTTGCGAGTTAAAAACTCAAATGAGGAAAATAGTCAAAGATTCAAAGTACGAATTTTTGATAAAATGAAATTATGTAGTTCATAGTTTTTCTGTTTTTGCTTGTAAAATAAACTAAAACAAATGTATTTTTTTTATTGTTTTTCGGTTTTTGTCTTTATTTAATACCTTATTTAGGCTTCTTGTGCCTTTTCCTACCTATTTACCCATTTTTTGTAGGTTTTTAGGTCCTAAAAATCTGTTCCGTGGTAATAATGTTGTGTGTGAACTCATAAAAAAATGGAATTAATGGGATTATTTTAACACATCCCTCCGATGCAAAACTTAACCTTAAAATGCCCTAAAAATACCATAAATTCCATAATTATTATATGATGAAATATGAGCCAATTGTTAGTTGCTCCTTTACGCGATTTCTAGTGAAAACGTTGCGCGCATATGCGGTGAGCCTGTATGGTTCACGATGCGTGCGCGCTGTGACAAATGTTGCTGTAAGTCAAAAACAGAAAAGATCTAACACACTTTTTGTTTACAAATATTTTCTTCTTCAAATACAGTTTTCGAAAATATAAACGAAATGGAAAACACTCATTGAGAACAAGTTTTTAATGCAACTTGAATATTTATAATGTTTAAATTAAAAAAAAATATTGTTTTCTAAATTATAAAAATAGTTTTTTTTTTTTTTTAACTACAATGTCACGGCATTTACAAAATAAATTTCATCAACCTTCGTCAAATACTTTAAGAGAAAATGAGTTTTGAAAAATTGCTTAAAAATATATTTTCTTATAAAAACTTTAAAAATTAAAATTTTTCAAAACAATTCTCAGAATCCCTTTCATATCTATAAACCTCTCTATCCACAAATTTTCACGCAAAAAATCGAACGTGACTGAAATCCGAGGTCCAGTTATATATTTTTTAGGGCTCATCAGATTTAGTTATCATTAGAAGCACATCCAATCTTAATCCAAAAGAAAGTATTCATTACAGAGCAATTTCATTCCACTTATTGACTATTGCTTTATTTAAGTCGTTAATTTTTGAGTGAAATATGCAAAATTCATTCCGTGTAAACAAATATGAAACAATTTATGATGAGCCTCTGGCTTAAATATTTAATTCGAATATTGAAGTAATTGACTTCTTAACTTAACCACTTGGCCCGTTCATAATCTTTCCATTAGCACATAACGACTAATTTGCAGAAAACAGATTAGATTTGGGAAAGTATTGTATACGCGCATAATAAAAGACAAAAGTCGATAGCCCTCCGATTTTGAGGATGAGATCACCAATTAGTTTTTATGTGGTTGGANATGAAACAATTTATGATGAGCCTCTGGCTTAAATATTTAATTCGAATATTCAAGTAATTGACTTCTTAACTTAACCACTTGGCCCGTTCATAATCTTTCCATTAGCACATAACGACTAAGTTGCTGAAAACAGATTAGATTTGGGAAAGTATTGTATACGCGCATAATAAAAGACAAAAGTCGATAACCCTCCGATTTTGAGGATGAGATCACCAATTAGTTTTTATGTGGTTGGGGATTTGCATTTTTAAAAGCATCCAATGGCTTTCTTTAATTTCGATCAATTTGTGACCACTTTATGAATATTTGATTACATCTTTCACACAAATTTACATTCGAATACATTCACCGTGCTGTAAGTGACGTTTGTGAACGTTTATTGTCATAAAAACAAAGTAACAAATGTTGTAAAATGTTAATCAGCTGATACGACTGAGATAAACTACAGCATACTAGTATGTTGGTGTTGCTAAGCAAATATTTACTAAGTGCAATGTTGGACTTTTATGTTTGATGTCTCATAAATTGTGCTTTGCCGTTTAAAAACTATCACAAAAAAGTATAACAAAAATGTAAAGAAAGATGCATACTTAATAAACGCAATGCGAAACGAAATTTCTAAAAAATTATGAACAACCAATTGGCAAAAAATTTGTATGTTTGATATTAATAGCTGGAAGCCAGCAGTTTTTATCTAAAAATCTTTAAAATTAACTCAATGAAGTCAATAATTAGGTGTGTAACACAATTTTTAGACAAATTTGCATACAATTTTATTAGCTAAAATGAGGCTATTTAAGCAGTTGATGTAGGTGAGCATACATATGTATGTATGTATGTAGTAAAAGGTACTTTTTACTAACCGGTCATTCAAAATAAATAATCTAATTAATAGCCGAACTGTCAGTAACCGCAAATTATGTAAATTTCGCACTTTAGTTGTTATTTTTATTAGTCATTAATGTGAATTAAATATTTATGCCATATATCTTCCTTCTATTTCTTACAGTATCTGGCCTCTCACCTGGCGAACGTGAGATCATCCTGCACGAGCACAACAAATTAAGACAACTAGTGGCGACAGGTCGCTATCCAGGCCAACCGGGCGCAGAAAATATGCGTGAAATCGTTTGGGACGATGAGTTGGCGGCGCGTGCGCAACAGTGGGCTGATAATTGTGAATTCCGTCATGACCCCCTACGAACGATCAGTAAGTCATCAAGTGTGCGAATTTACATATGTCACTAACACTAATATTTTTGTCAACTAATAACATAAATGCATGGATTAATGCGAGCAAAAAAAAAAAACAAAAAACATTACTCGAGCATATGATTCATAAATAAATAATTTGGTACTAATTTCTAAATTACATACTACATTTTAAAGTTTGGAAACATGCATTTGGCAGGGACCGTATGAGCGAAATTTTTTGTTATGAAAATAAATATTAAAAATTATATTTTTATACTCTTATTCGATATTCTTAAAAAACAGAAAGTTTTAGATTTTTATTTTATTACCCGACATATATTTATATTTGCTTCATAGTAATCCTTTCAAACAAAGTTTTCATAAATAACTTTTATTTACGGTCCCTGCTTTTGGTTATCATTGAGTTTTTTTTGCATTGAAAAACTTAGTTTAGAAAATAAAACTTTCAAAAACATAATTATTTAGATGGATAAATTAAAACCGGTGATGAAACTTTTACAAAATTTCCAAACAAAAATTAAAAAGAACGAAAAAGCAAATCTGTGAATGAAAGAGTATATTTTGTAAATAAGAAAAATATTCGCGGACTTGGCTAAAACCAAAAATTCATGTTCGAAAGGACGGGCGTGATTTACAGCATGCAAATAACACATCCCCTAAAATCTGTCAAACTGAAAAAATGTGCATTTTACACGAAAAAAAAAAATTCATTAATTAAAAGACAGCTTAAAAACCTAACGACTATCAGTCTTCATATATCCCGTTCCATTGAATTTGGAAATGCGCCATTCAAGCTAAATAAAAGTTCTAGTTCTCAACACGAAACATGCATGTCCACATGGGCCCATAAAACAAGGAAAAAGAAAGATCAACGAAAAAATTAAAATAACATTAAAATGGATAATGGTTTGATCTCGATCATATAAAGGGTAACTACTATACTTTACACATAAGAAGTGCGTGTGCCTAACCTTCATGGCATTTATATACATATTCAATATTTTAAAAATACAAAAATTTTAACTAAACTTGCATGTCGATGTTCCTCTTATTTAAATCATACGCTACCCGCTTTTTGTTGCACTAAATAACTAACTCAGTTGATATTTACAATTAGTAATTTTTGTCTTGTCTTTTCTTATTTTTGTATGCATTGCTTCTATTTTTTCCACCAATTTTTATCCATCTCCTGCATGATGCTGCATTGGCCGTTTCTTCTGATTGCTGTTTGCTGTTTGTGCGCCACCGTTGGACCACAATATCATTTTCACAAACAAATGTAGATCGCTTCACCATGGGCCAAAATCTTGCAATCATCTGGAGTACGGCCCCACTAGATCCAACCGACGGCGATTTTCCATCACGCATCCAAAGCTGGTTCAATGAGGTGCAAAGGTACTCATTTGGCGATGCTTGGTCACCCAAAACCGGTCATTACTCACAGGTAAGTTTAAGTGAATAACAAAGTACAGAGTAACAAATATAAGAGATGAAAATAGACCGCTAAAGGACAAATTTATAATGTTGAAACCAGGGACTGAACATAACAGTTATTGATGAAAACTGTCATGGAAAAATTCACTATGAAGGAAATGTTCTACAACTATACATACCAATCGATTTCTTTTTTCGCCGAGACTCAAATTTGAAAATAAATTTTTATTTGCAATTTTTATGCAAAATTAAAAAAAATAACTATTATTTTTGATTTCTATATTATAAATCCAAAATAACAATTATTTTATTGATTTTTATATTATATGTATTAGATAACAGCTACTGAAGACTTGTATCAATAAAAGTCATCAATAAAAATCAGTCAGTGACTTTTACTTTTAAAAGTAATTATTAATATAAATCAGTTACCGATTTTTATTTATAAGTCATAAAAGAAAACTTTGTCAATCATTTGTATAAAAGTCAACACACATAACATGTTTTGCAGTTAAGAAGGCGTTGGAAAACAAAGGTTTACTATGACTTATACAAATAACTTATAACTATGATTTAAAAAACAAAGGACAGTGACAGATTTTTTTTTATTTCTTTGTGAGNATGATTTAAAAAACAAAGGACAGTGACAGATTTTTTTTTATTTCTTTGTGGAATTAACCGTTCTATGAAATGTTACACAATTCGAGAATTTCAAAAACTTCATCACGGACATAACGCTTTCGTTAGCTTATTTAAGGCGGGAAGTGACCACCAAACCATAACCTTAGCCGATGAGCGTGCCAATGGAAATCGTAAACGTGAATTGTTGGTGAAAATGTTGGGCCAAAAAGTTTCAATAAAACAATTATTTTGTGCGCGACGAAGTTCACCGGGTCTGCTAGTATCTATTATAATATTGCATTTAAACTAATTAATTTTTAAAAAGGTGGCAACCCTTGTGAAAAACTTCATTATTATTCAAAACTTTAAAACTAAAGGTTTCTTAACAATATTTTGTTTGACAACCATATTTTATTTCTTCAGAAGGTTTGCGTATAATTCATCTAAATTTTACTTTTCAAACAGGCGGCAACCGTTTTTAAAATATATTAAACTACAGCTTTTTTACGACTCTTGGCATCAATTTTTGTAATAATAATTTTCAAATAAATAACTCCCTTAATTGAAGTTGAATTAGATTTTTTTAAAAGGTGGCAGCCCTCGTCCATGAGTAGATACTGATTTTATATATCTCCATACCAAGTTCCAGTAATCTACCAAAAATATTTCCTGAGAAATGCAGTATGAAGAATTCCGTTTGTATGGGAGGTGCCACGCCCTCTTGCCTAATCGAGATGAAATGTATCCTATATTTTAAGTTGGGCTAAATAACAGCAGTGTAAAAAATTTCATGATGATTGGTTGAACAGTTAAAGCGTGAAAGCGTAGCAAACAAACAAACTCACTTTCGGGTTTATATTAGTAAGGAAGGATGCCAAACAAATGGCAACACTGTTGCTTGTTCTGTGAAATTGTTGTTGCCTTTGTTTTTGCTGAACAGCTGATTGGTGTTTCGGCAAGACTGATAAAACAACGTATCAACACAAAGTGGTTGTCTTAATAAATTTGGCAAGCAGATTTACCACGCTATTGATTGAGAGTGTGCCACATGGGTTTTATCATAGAGATGTAGAACCAGAGGATCCCTTTTGGTTTTGACAAAAACCTGTTCAAATTTCTTTTCACTGTAACGTAAATTAATAAATTCACTAATAGCGATTATTTTTAATCTAGAGAAACAAAAAATCGTTCATAAAAAATAAAAATCGATTTTTTCTATCGCTGGTTTAAAGCTGCATAACCCAAATTAATATATTGCAATGTTAATGGTTGGGTATATTTTAACAAACCAAACTTAAAGATGACCTATGGCAAATATGATGAGAACTCAACTTCTTCTTTGACCTGAGTTGTAAAAGAAAATTCCACCACGAAATTTCTATTTTTACGATTTCAAAAAGCATACATACATATGTATGTGAGACTTTGTAAAAAAAAATGTTGATTCGTAATAATGAATTGATTTTGATGCATATGCGAGAACACCACTTCATTGGTATATCGCATTTTTGACGAAAAATTTAAGATTTAAAATTTTAATCAAAATATACCCTGATAAATTATATACTATGTAGGATTGACTTTGTATTCAAAACAATAAGTTTCCATTCAGAAATTTGACGTTTCTATGAAGCTTTATTAAAAGGGCATCTTCAACTCTTCAGGTCTTCAGGTCAATCTTATGCATGCAAAAATATATTTTCTAGTAGATATGTGTTAATTTTTATCTAAGCCTATTTTTATTAATGATTTTTATTTTTATCTTCGTTACAGCTGGTCTGGGGTGAAACAAGCTTGGTTGGTTGCGGATTTTCTGAATACAAAGATACAACCAAATATAACAAATTGTATGTTTGTAATTATGGACCAGGGTAAGTATTTAAAATACGTTGAGTCTTTACAGTAGAAATACAGTAGAAATACTGAAACGACGTAATAAGTGCCTGATTTCACATTACTTTGATTTAGCGGTAAAATATGCTGTTTCGAATAATTTGTGATTGGGATAAATAAAATTTGTCTAGATGGTTTAAAAATTAGGCTGAAAAATATTGAGTTTTTTATGAAGCAAAAACCCTACGTTAAAGTCGGGTACATGTCTGTTCTAGTTAAAAAAATATTTTTTGTAATAATTTCAATCCACATTCAATCCAATTCTCAATATTTTCGTCGAAACTCGAATCACACATAATCTTTCATGCTACTTTTTCCCCAACAATTAAAAACAATATGCTCAAAATTCCTAATTTGGACCATAAGTCGAGTTTTCATTGCGTTCGAGCAATTAGATTTATACTCGTCAAAAGAGGAGAATATTCACAGTTGCTGGTTTTTATTGGAATATAATCAGCGGCTAGTTCGCAAATCTTACCCATTCCGTATAAAATACTGCTGAAGTTTTAAAAATTATCAGCCTATTTGCGAGCATCGAGTGAAAGCCGTTTTTCGAGAGTAGAGTATAAAAAATTGTATGACATTGCCTAAAAATTCGACTCGACTAATGCTTGGGCGAAGGCCACATTCCGACTGCAAATATAGAGGGGACTTGGAGTACTGGCTGTTACTGTGAACGGCTTTCACTTCTTAGATGATCCCTTTAGCCAACTTAATGATGAAAAAGCCATATCCAGAAATTTTGTTTTCCAATTTTGGCCGCACTATGCGACAGTAGGCAATACCAATGTTGCCGAGTCGTGCAATTTAGTCTAAAAGCTCAGTTAGGCTAGGCTTAATTTCAGTAACTTAACTTAATATTTCGGCCAACCTACGGCCAACCTGAGAAACTGTGTTGGCGGTTAGATAAAACTTAACTTACCGTAAGCAGCTTAAGAACCTGTAAATTTTACATTCTTAAGTTACGGCCTCACGAAAATTGAGGGCGGTGAGAGCACAAGGCTTGCCAGATTTTCGCTTTAGTATGTCCCAAAAATAACGAACGCAAACCTATTTTCTTTTGCTTGATTTTTTTTTTGATATGACATTTAAGGCGGCAAACTGTTCTGAGGAGGAAAATACAAAAACAAAATATCTCGCTTCTGGCTTAAGTGGACGTGTTGAGANTTGGCGGTTAGATAAAACTTAACTTACCGTAAGCAGCTTAAGAACCTGTAGATTTTAGGTTCTTAAGTTACGGCCTCACGAAAATTGAGAGCGGTGACAGCATCAGGTTTGCCAGATTTTCGCTTCTGTATGTCCCAAAAATAAATGAACGCAAACCAATTTTTTTGCTTGATTTTTTTTTTTTGATATGACATTTAAGGCGGCAAACTGTCAAAGTTCTGAAGAGGAAAATACAAAAACAAAATATCTCGCTTCTAGCTTAAGTGAGACGTGTTGAGTAATCATTGTTGATTTCTTACGGCAAGTAAAATTAAGTTAAGTGTAGACTAACTGGGCTTTAATTTACAACTTACGCAATGAAGCTGTATGCATATCTCGTAACGATATAATCCGCTCTTGTTTTGGTTTCCTTCATTGCTCACAATAGTTCTAGGAGCTGTCTTGGACATATTTGTCGATTAATATGTAGTGTCTACTCTAGAAGTAAGAAACCCCTTTTTAGCCGATATTTTGTCCTATAATCTGCAGAAAATTTGCATATTTCATATTCCAGTTTCTCTTAGATACTTTCTTACCACCACTAACATAAATATTTTCTTACCTTTAATTTAGTCCTTTTCATAACTCTAATCCTTCTCTCATTTTAATTTGCAGTGGAAACGTCGTCGGTTACAAACCATATGAGGAGGGTAAGCCATCGTGTGCCACATATGGTTTGAGATCGTCATCGCGTTATCAGGGATTATGCGCACCATCGGTAGCGCCCATAGTTAGCGCCAACGCTATTGACACGTATGAGTACAAGCAAAATAACAACAACAAAAAAACCGCATATTCAACGCAATCCGCTACAACTTCAACCTCTTCTTCCTCCTCCTCTTCTGTATATTCCCCAAAACAGGCGACGAACACATTTGGTCAGCGTAAGACTACATCCGGTACAACAAGTTCAACGTTTGGTACCACAGTATACACAACAACAAATAACGGCAACAAGGCGTACACAACTCAGACCGGTGACAACAAATATAAGAACAAACTTGAGGCATATCGCCCGTCCACAGCCGAATATCAGAGGGCCGTACAGAAACACACCCTTCTAAGGACATATCTAAATAATCCGAATTTGAGTGAACAACAATTGCAGCAAGAGGCACAAAGGCAACAACAACAGCAAGATGGTAATGGAAATGTTTTTGCTGTATCAGAAGTATTCGTTTTCGATAATACAAAACAAAACAAACAGCAAGTTGCCAATACAACACCGCAGCCGGCTAAGCGTGGCTGGAGTCTTTTGACGTGGCGTGGCTAGATAGTAGCATGTGGGAGTAGGGCATAGCCATGAGTATATAGTATATACATACATACATAGATGGAATGAAAAGTGAAGGACAGAGAAGTACTTTTTTAAGGAAAAAATTGCAATTAATTTTGGTTAAGGCAACAGGGAAAGCAGCCACCGTGAATTACTACTGTGTAGTAAAGGAAGGAGAAAACTTCAGTGGTATGCCATAGAAAGCGCAATTCAAAAAAAAAAATAATAATACTCTACATTGAAGAGATCTTTTTTCGACTGCAGTAAATTTGTTTGCCTTTGAGTAGCCATTCAAATCGTAATGCAATAATGAAAATAATATTCCTAATTTTGCTCAAATTAAAGTTTACTATTAGTATATATGNAATCATTGTTGATTTCTTACGGCAAGTAAAATTAAGTTAAGTGTAGACTAACTGGGCTTTAATTTACAACTTACGCAATGAAGCTGTATGCATATCTCGTAACGATATAATCCGCTCTTGTTTTGGTTTCCTTCATTGCTCACAATAGTTCTAGGAGCTGTCTTGGACATATTTGTCGATTAATATGTAGTGTCTACTCTAGAAGTAAGAAACCCCTTTTTAGCCGATATTTTGTCCTATAATCTGCAGAAAATTTGCATATTTCATATTCCAGTTTCTCTTAGATACTTTCTTACCACCACTAACATAAATATTTTCTTACCTTTAATTTAGTCCTTTTCATAACTCTAATCCTNAACTGGGCTTTAATTTACAACTTACGCAATGAAGCTGTATGCATATCTCGGAACGATATAATCCGCTCTTGGTTTGGTTTCCTTCATTGCTCACAATAGTTCTAGGAGCTGTCTTGGACATATTTGTCGATTAATATGTAGTGTCTACTCTAGAAGCAAGAAACCCCTTTTTAGCCGATATTTTGTCCTATAATCTGCAGAAAATTTGCATATTTCATCTTCCAGTTTCTCTTAGATACTTTCTTACCACCACTAACATAAATATTTTCTTACCTTTAATTTAGTCCTTTTCATAACTCTCTCATTTTAATTTGCAGTGGAAACGTCGTCGGTTACAAACCATATGAGGAGGGTAAGCCATCGTGTGCCACATATGGTTTGAGATCGTCATCGCGTTATCAGGGATTATGCGCACCATCGGTAGCGCCCATAGTTAGCGCCAACGCTATTGACACGTATGAGTACAAGCAAAATAACAACAACAAAAAAACCGCATATTCAACGCAATCCGCTACAACTTCAACCTCTTCTTCCTCCTCCTCTTCTGTATATTCCCCAAAACAGGCGACGAACACATTTGGTCAGCGTAAGACTACATCCGGTACAACAAGTTCAACGTTTGGTACCACAGTATACACAACAACAAATAACGGCAACAAGGCGTACACAACTCAGACCGGTGACAACAAATATAAGAACAAACTTGAGGCATATCGCCCGTCCACAGCCGAATATCAGAGGGCCGTACAGAAACACACCCTTCTAAGGACATATCTAAATAATCCGAATTTGAGTGAACAACAATTGCAGCAAGAGGCACAAAGGCAACAACAACAGCAAGATGGTAATGGAAATGTTTTTGCTGTATCAGAAGTATTCGTTTTCGATAATACAAAACAAAACAAACAGCAAGTTGCCAATACAACACCGCAGCCGGCTAAGCGTGGCTGGAGTCTTTTGACGTGGCGTGGCTAGATAGTAGCATGTGGGAGTAGGGCATAGCCATGAGTATATAGTATATACATACATACATAGATGGAATGAAAAGTGAAGGACAGAGAAGTACTTTTTTAAGGAAAAAATTGCAATTAATTTTGGTTAAGGCAACAGGGAAAGCAGCCACCGTGAATTACTACTGTGTAGTAAAGGAAGGAGAAAACTTCAGTGGTATGCCATAGAAAGCGCAATTCAAAAAAAAAAATAATAATACTCTACATTGAAGAGATCTTTTTTCGACTGCAGTAAATTTGTTTGCCTTTGAGTAGCCATTCAAATCGTAATGCAATAATGAAAATAATATTCCTAATTTTGCTCAAATTAAAGTTTACTATTAGTATATATGTATGTAGATATAAGTCTTATGCCAAATGTACGAATTTGACATACACAGTTTTCATTAGTTCGTAAGTAGTTATCGATTGTTAGATGTAAAAAGTACTGCAGTATATTCACACATACACACACACACACAGACACATACATACGTATGTACTTATTTGCATATTTTGACTGCCCAAAAGGCGTTTGTGCGCCCAGTTTTAGCCACAGCCACGCAAAAGCTGAATTGAAAACAATTCCGAACTACTAAGTATTCACATAAGCAACCTGCCACACAAGGGTACAGCCATATCATTTGCCATAACCGCGTAGGTGGACGCCAAGCAACACAACCTTGTACTCAGGAACAACGTTTCGCCTGCATTTAGATTCTTCATCTTAAAGCATATGCGCTCATCTAACTACTTACATATGTATTAACAAATCAGCAATCGATTTAAAGTAGCCACTGCATCGCGTCATTCTCTTGTGGAAAACTGCCATTCGCGATCAGCACACATTAATGCGCATTTTGTAGTGAATTATCACATAGTATTTAGTATTAGTAAGATAAAAAAAGAAACATAAACAAATGCATTTACATACATATATATGCATATATCAGTGTTAGCTTACATACACACGAATACTTGTACTATACAAATGTTTGTATCAAACGTTTGTACCCACATCTGCTTAAATATAACAATAGCGACCACATTTTAGACAAACGTAATAGCTTCTAATCAGAATACTGAAAAAAAATAATTCTATACATACAAACTTCTGAAGAATAAGATGGATATGTTTGCTAAATTGTATGCAAAGATAACACATCGAGCGACTTTGCATAGTCTCTGCATTAATAAAATTTTACCAATGTACATTTTATTTTAAATGAAATTTATATACAAAATATATGCAGCATGAATAAATTTTAGTTCATGTGAAGAGCTCTGTATCATGTAATCTTGCGGAAATTATTAACCAAGCATTAAAATCAAATAAAATTTGTATTAAATATTAATTAAAAACAACTTAAAACTCATTGTTTAAAATTTATGGTGAACAAATTTTTTTGCTCAATGTTCACTATGGAATAGCGATGGGAATGAATATTTATTCCAATGTTTTTTCCGAAGAGAGGAATTGACATTCGGAGTGTCAAAATAGTAAAAAATTATTAAAAAAAACGGGGAGGATTCTCTGAAAAAAATGAAAAATATCGGATATGCAAAAGCCAAAAAAGCCATTTCGGTGCCCTATATTAGGAACGTTTTTAATATTTAATTTAGGTAAATTTAAGTTACGCTCAATGTGCGTCAATGTGCTCTTGCCTTTTAAAAATTTGCCAATATACATACATAATAATTTATTTATAATTTTTTATTAAATATTTAAAAAATCTAAAAGATTTACATATACTCCCCACAAAAAAAAAATTATAATAATAAAATAAAATAAAAATTCACATTATTTATATTAAAGAGAACACCAAGTTTTCCAAACTGAAGTCATTGCTGTGGCACTTTCTTCCGCGAAAAACCGAAGAGGTGCGCAAGCTTTTTGAGCGGAGGTATTGAAGTTGAACGAAGCGGTTCATTTGTTTATTAATTAATTATACTACAGCTCCTTTTGGAAGCCCTCAATGTGGTTTGAAAATGAACACAAAACGATAATAAAATAAAAGCCTTGAAAGCATTAATTTTTACTTACAGTGCACGCGGTTTAAATTTCGTCTGATTGAGGCCGCGTTCATGCAATTCTCTTCCTCTTAAACAAATAACTGTGATTGCTGTGTTTTCTTTAAAACTCTTTATTTTAATAATTTAATTTTACTCGCACAGCTTGTTTACAGCCGCTTGCTGGTTGCCGCACTGTCAAATTTCGATTATCGATAACTCTACAACAACTGACGGTAGTTGCCATTCATAATACAAATTTTCTTTCCAGTTGCGTTGCCAGCTGGCACCCGAACCGTGGTTTTGTTGCTATCCGTAATCGATCCATTAATTCTATCTGTTGAAATAGTCTTGTGAGTGTTGTGTAGCTGAATTGTGAATTACTTTGGGTGTTTTCCAACGACTTCATAGGGTCCTTCGTATGGAGGCGTCAAACCCGATTCGTTCCTGTCGACGCGCACGAAAACTTGTGTGCACGACCGTAAATCCTTGGGCATATAAATTTTGTTTATATTTTCGTGACGAGATATACCAGAACGGAAAATTTGAAATGATTTTTTTATTTTTGCTAGAAATTCAGTAATATTAAATTTATCTTCAGATTGAAAGACAAGTTCGCCTGGCAAACGCAAATTTTTACCATAAACCAATTCTGCTGCAGTGGATTTTATATCTTCCTTGAATGAAGCTCTTAAAGCCAGTAAAACCATAGAAAGTTCCAGGGACCAATTAATTGAATTACCTCTTTCCAAAATTGAAGCCTTTAACTGTCTATGCTTGTGGATGATATGCAGTAGTTGTGATTAATTGACATTCTATAAACTTTGCTAGTTCTTTGAATATATTAGATGTATATTGAACACCTTGATCACTTGTGATGTGAGAAGGTACTCCAAAACTTGGTATAAGCTCTTTGAAGAAAGTAGTAGCAACTGATGTCGCCGTAGCTTCTTTAAGTGGAAACGGTTCTGGCCAACGAGTGTTTCGATCAATGATAGTTTATTGATGTATTGATAACCATTTGAAACTGTTAAGGGTCCTACGATGTCTGTGTGTATGGTCAAATCTTCCGTTCGGTATAACTATTTTAGTAATAGGTGAATTAGTGTGTCCAGCAGATTCTGGATTCTCATGCATTTGCTTATGTTCTTCGTAATATGCTCGTACCGCAAAATGTTTGTCGCACATTTCACAATTATAGACATTGGGGCCAATCGTAAGAATTTTTGTATGCTTATTTAGATTATCTTTGCGCGAAAATGGTTTACTACAAACATCACAGCTGAATGGCTTTCGTCCTGAATGCGAGATTTCATGGCGCATTAGGTGCTCTTTTCGGCTGAAAGCCTTATCCTTTTTCTGCAACATTGGTATCTTCGTTTGCAATATCGCATTTTGTATTGGTTGTTGCTGTTGCTGCTGCTGCTGCGCCGCCAAACGTTGTAGCTATGTAGTACATCCTGCTGATGCTTTTCTTGCAATAGTTCTTCTTGTTGCTGCTGACGTAATTTCTGCTGCGCCTGCTGTTGCTGTTGCTGCTGCTGCTGCGCCGCCAAACGTTGTAGCTATGTAGTACATCCTGCTGATGCTTTTCTTGCAATAGTTCTTCTTGTTGCTGCTGACGTAATTTCTGCTGCGCCTGCTGTTGCTGTTGCTGCTGCTGTTGACGTTGTTTTTGTTGTGTGAATGCAAAATCAATAACAGAGTTACTTTCTGGCAACGGATTTATATTAGGAGTACGAGTGACCATTATAAATAACAAAATAAAATTAAATTGAAACTATTGTTAAATACTTTAGAGATACAGCTCACCACTGGTGAAATGTTATTGGCTATAGTTGCAGCACAGATGATTTGGACGCCGAAGTTGAGTGAGACACTGTTGCTCCGCAGGTAGCTGGTTTTGCCGTTGTTGAAAAAATTGCAGGTGTTTGTAAATATTATCAGTTGACTCTAATGGTTGTTGGTGAAGATGTTGAGCATGTGTTGTTGAGACGACTAGTACTTAGGCCGTTGTTGAAATTGTTCTCTATATTGTTGTGGTTTTCGAAAGATCACGTTGGTGATTTCTGCTTACTTGCCTCTTGTTGATTGCTGCACGAATTCAATTCGCTGATATGAAAAATAAGCCTCTTATTGTCGGCATCAAAGAGCAAAAATATTTAGACACACGAATTCACCTATTACTAAAATAATTATACCGAGATTTTAGCTTTACACATAATTCTTAAGTCTAAAAAATTTAAGCTCTTGCCTTTTTAAAATTTTCAAATATAATAATTTATTTCTAATTTTTCATTTTGAAACATTATACATATGTATAATTCTTCATTTTTCCCTTGCGCCAAATAATTTTGGCAAATAAAATGGGCATAAAAAGTTCTATTGATCTGTATTTCTCATTTTTGCATAGCTGAACGGTCGGTATTCTAGATTTCTTCCAGCAAATGACGAATAACAAATCAAAAATGCATATTTTTATGTATTGTTTAGTATTTCCATTATAACACCAAATATATTGCAAATTCGCATAGAATTAATAGTACACCTTTACTTCTAATTGTATACTTTGCGTACTTTTTGTAGTACCTTTCTACTACCGTTTTCGCAAAAGGCGATCACATTCTTCCCCTTTCACCTACTTCCAAAATACAAATCTAGATAAAGGAGTGTCAAATTTTAGGTGTCACAAATTACACAACCTTGTATTATTGAATCACGATCATTTGTATGTATTTAACATTTTAAAAATCTAAAAAAATTATTTTATAACAAGTACTATTATAAAAAATAGGAAGGAGAACCGCCGAGAGGAATTTTTCAAATTCTTGACGGTTGCAAGCATTTAACTTTAAAAAATTTTACACACAATGCACAGACACATTCTCATTTACAATCTCAAAAAACAACAATTTCAATTTTTTATGATTTTAAAATGCTGGCAAACTTCAAAAAAAAAAAAAATCATGGCCTACGAATTAAGGGAACGGTTTTACCTTACTATTTTTTTATCATGACAAGTATTATATACAACAAGCACTGCATACCATTTATAAAAATCAATAGACAATTTTGAATGATATGAATTTTCTAAAGACTTTTCCAGATGCCATAACTTCATAATTTGTCGATTGATTTTAATGAATGGTTTCAAGTCTTACTCGGAATTAAGCATTGTTTCCGAAGTAATGACTAAAAGAGGATATTCTCATTTGAAATTTTGGCAGAAGTGAAAAAAAATAAAAAAATTTAAAAATTTTTACAGTGAGCTCACAAAATTTCTGACTTTTTTAAATAGTAAAAATATTCTTCTTTCTAAAGCCATATAAAAACTTAAAATTAGTTAAAAATTGTTTAGTGCCGGAAATCATGCGAAAATGGGGTTTTTAAGAACAAACTGAGATTTTGAGGGTGTTAAAAAATTATGAAAACAGTTTCAAGAATTACTCGGCCAACTCTACGGCCTGTAATCAGTCACTTAAAAGGTCTTGGAATTTTTTTATATTTTGTACCACCGTGTAATAGTAGCACTGTGATACCTTACGGAATACTGATGACCTTATTTCTGCCAGTGAGATGTCCGCCAACTATAACATTGGTCCGATGCGCCAACCTCTAGTCTTGTGTCATGTATCCAAATAAAGACCTTATGAGAAACTGAAGAGCACAGATAGATGTGCGATTTCTGTTATAGGAGGCCCAAAAATCTTCGTTGTTTCACAGGACGAAAAGTTTTCTCGTACATCTGCTAAATGAATCGTGGGATATTTTGAATATCCTTCAAATGAAGCCATTGTTATACATATCGTGTTCTTTCTTGGAAGGATGTGGCCGAATGTTTCCTTGCTAATTCACCCCTTTTACAATTCGTCTTAATATCTAGGCGTCCATGGACATATGAATGCACATACATATATTAGTTTGATTTTCGTAGACCTACGCTATCTAGATCAGATATGTACGGCATTCAGCAAGAGAAATTCCACTTTCTATGTGTTGGACTAAAGCTTTTGCTTCCTAAATGGCTAACACCCGAGACGCGATGATGTGCCTAGGATATCTGAATACCAGAGATTCATTTTATCCACGAACTGGTTTCTTTGAGTCTTGCTGCTATATTAAGGGAGCTCCGAGCAATTTCATCAAGCGTAGGTAGATGCAAGATTGCATTTAGGGTGTTTGAAAATGTTATACAAAACCTATCGACTTAAACTGTTATAGCTTGTAATAAAGATAAATGTGATGATGAAGAAATAAATGATAACGATTAAGAACATAAAATGGAGACAAAACTGAAGATAAAGGTGCAAATGAAAGCTTAAAAATGTCACGTAAAACCCGAGATGTTTTTTGAGGTAAGGAAAAAATCCAGACGTGATGGAGCAAAACGGATGTCAGATTCGTGTTCAGCGACCCCAAAAACATATAACAGACTAGGTTTGGTCAAAGGAACCTTTCATCGATTTTCTTTTTTGTGGACCTGTGTAATTAGCCCGAAAATTTTGTCTATTCGCTTTCCGAGGAGGGAAAATGTCAAAATCCAATTCCTTAGCGGTATCGGTAACTTCTGAAAATATATCAGAAAAATGCGTGTTAGCATTTTCTCTATAGTTAAGAAGAATATTCACAGTGCCATTGACTGCTTCNTGTGGACCTGTGTAATTAGCCCGAAAATTTTGCCTATTCGCTTTCCGAGGAAGGAAAATGTCAAAATCCAATTCCTTAGCGGTATCGGTAACTTCTGAAAATATATCAGAAAAATGCGTGTTAGCATTTTCTCTATAGTTAAGAAGAATATTCACAGTGCCATTGACTGCTTCACTAGCACGATTCAAGTCAAGCGAGGGTCTTGGAGAAGTAAACTTTTAATTTTTAATTCTTTAATTTAACTTTTTAATTTTTATTACATTTTGCAAGTCTGGTTACACAGTTAAAAGTGAAATTTCCTACATACGTGCACCGCGGAAATATACAAAAAGTAGTNAACAAGCACGATTCAAGTCAAGCGAGGGCTCTTGGAGAAGTAAACTTTTAATTTTTAATTTTTTAATTTAACTTTTTAATTTTTATTACATTTTGCAAGTCTGGTTACACAGTTGAAAGTGAAATTTCCTACATACGTGCACCGCGGAAATATACAAAAAGTAGTATCAGAAAGTTCGATTTGACACATAATTATCTCCAGAAAATGAGGCTTACACATTCCACATCAGTAAAAGTTAAGAACAATTGTAATAAAAAATATTTGCCCGACTTTTTTTTTTTTACCCGAATCTTTTATTTATAAAAGCAAATAATTGTAAAATAAAAGCGAACATGGATTTTTTGTACACTTTACGTCTTGTCTTCAGATTAAAAATAAATGAAACAAAAATGTAGTAAACGTAAAATAGCCAAATTCAAATTCGAAATTCATGTAAAACTAATTCGCCCAAAGAACGAAGAAGAAAGTCAGTAAAGTGCACAGATATTCAAAGAGTTTAGGCAGCAGATGCCTACTCATCATCATCGTCGTCGTCGATANCCAAGTTCGCCCAAAGAACGAAGAAGAAAGTCAGTAAAGTGCACAGATTCTCAAAGAGTTTTAGGCAGCAGATGCCTACTCATCATCATCGTCGTCGTCAATAATAGCTATACGGCGACGCTTGGCGGGTTCCTCCCCGCTGGCTAAACGCTGTTGTTCCTCATGATTTGGCTTTCGACGCGCGATAAATGTATCCTCTTCCTCGTCGTCCGTNACTAATTCGCCCAAAGAACGAAGAAGAAAGTCAGTAAAGTGCACAGATATTCAAAGAGTTTAGGCAGCAGATGCCTACTCATCATCATCGTCGTCGTCGATAATAGCTATACGGCGACGCTTGGCGGGTTCCTCCCCGCTGGCTAAACGCTGTTGTTCCTCTTGATTTGGCTTTCGACGCGCGATAAATGTATCCTCTTCCTCGTCGTCCGTGACTTGAAGCCTACTGAAACTTTCTTCTTCCTCATCGCTATCGTTCAAAACACCACGAGTGCGTTTATTTGTAGCTGCAGGCAGTAGAGTCTCCTCTAAAACGGCTCCTGTATCGTCCGCTCCTGTGGTTATGTCACCAACATGCGCTTGATTGCTTGTTTTGTCAACAATGGCAGCACCCAAATTACCGTCGCCCTCAATATCAGCATCAGCGGCAGTATCAGTAACGGAAACGGTCGCAGCTTCTTTGTCAGCAGTGCCGTCGTTTTCATTGATGGCGTTGGCTTTATTAACGCCTTTGTTGTCTCCGCTGACGTCCTTGGCATTTTGTTCGCCGTCAATCATCTCATCCTTGCCAATCTCATTCTGGTTCTCATCTTCGCTGTCTGAGTCAATTATGTTAGCCCGCCGCACGCGAGTTTTATTGTTACTAGTGCTGCTCACATTTTCATTGGCGATTGCGTTTTCTTCGTCACTTTCGCCCAGCTCGAGTAAACGTTTACGATAGTCTTCTGAATTGAAATTGAGCTCTTCCAATTCTTCGGTGTAAGTGGTCTCTTTACGCTTTTGCTTGTTGGTTTTAGATTTCAATTGATCGAATAAATCGGTTGCGGCATCGGTATTTTTCTCGCTGAATAGTTTCTCAATGTGCTCATCCTCATCGTCGCTGCTTATGGCTGGTTGACGACGCTTTTTGTCGAGCTTTCTCTTGATTTCATCAACTTGTGCAGCCTCATCCTCCGAGTGTTCGTGCAGTTTTTTCTCTTCTTCTTTAGGCTTACGTTGACGCTTCTTCTTCTGTCCTATGCCAGCACGTTCAGTGTCCTCCTCATCGCTTTTGTTAAACATTATGCTACGCATTTTCTGTGAACGCTTTTCTATGAAGCTATCCATTGCTGCTATGCGCTTTTTGTGCTTTTCAGCAAAGTTATCAAAGAAATCTTCCTCGCTCTCACTGTCTTGCTTCGATGCTCCGCTAGCATCGGATTCAGATTCACTGCTAGAGTCATCACTGTCATCATTCTCATTATCGATTCCTCCTTCTGGCGCTTCAATGGCGTCCCCACCTTCATCCCCTATGCCTTCCAAATCAATTTCGATTTCTTCGCCAGCTACTATTTTAGCGCGTAGCTTTAAGTCGGCCGAGTTAAGATACACAGGTATGCGCCAATAGCTTTCTGAACCCAACAAGGGTGGTTGTATGCCCAAAGCAACGAGTATCTTTTGAAAATCCGCATTCTCTATAGCTTCGCAGGCAGATTCTTGTAGTGGCACCAACGGTACACCATCATCCTCTTCGTTGGGTTCCTCTGTTTCTTCGGCTGCATCCTCTAGACACTCTTTAAGCCAATCGATTGAGTCCTGGTACTTCTCGATAACTTGTGCAATCAATGCCCGCACAGTGCCCACATCGAGCGGCGTTCGCACCACTTTCCGCTTTACCGGTTTCGATGGTTTGGGTAGCGCCGCTGGTTTGTTTTTATTTTTCTTCAGTTTGTTTTTCTTCTTTGATTTGGTTTTATTGCCGGACGCTGGTTCCAACTCGCCGAATACGGGTTCTTCCATAAAGCCACCTTCATCATCAGTGCCTTCAAAGCTGCCCGTTTTCTTCTTTGGCTTGCGTTTGCGTTGCTTCTTCGGCATAATTTCTGACTTATCTGCGATGATGTGTAGCTGAAGAAGGCGCTGAATAATTTGACGTTTTGTACGCCGATCAGCGAATTCGTTGAGAATGCGCTGTAAGCAATCTGCAATACGAAGAAAAGTTATTATAAACAACGCGAAAGTTGAAAATAAAAAATATATGCAATAGCTGAAATGCTTACCTTCCTCCAATCGATGTTCGTCATAGAGGCTTTGTAGCTCCTCATCCTCTTCGGTGCGCCAGAGATGCTTATTAGCAGCATTCGCCGTAGAACGCTTGGTGGGCGCCTTAAACATCAAACCGAGTTCCTTTAATTTCTTAAGTATCATGCGTCGAGTGCGTGTCTTGTCGTTCAAATGCTCGATGATCCAATCAATCACATCTGCAAAGATACGAGAGGTTAAGTGTTTGAATGTTGAATAAAAAGATTTAAAACTATTTGGCTATGAACTACATATATCCGCCCTCTAATCCATCACTTCCTCCTTCACTCGCTACCAAACGACAAACACTGTAACCTATTTATTTATTTAGTATCATTAAATTTTTGCACCTCCAACATTTAGGAATTCAAATTTAATTTGCCGAAATCCACCCCAAACCACCACGGTAAACCCGTAAGCCAAGAACAAATAAGGAAAAAGTGACGAAGTGATGAAGTGTTTTTCGGCTTGTGGTCAAGTTGTTGCTGGTGGGCTAAGCTTAGCTGAACTGATTGTTAGTAATTTGGTCGACAGTTTGTTTGTGTTAGCTTGTTGGCGCATTTGTTGAAAGTGTTGTCTGCTGCTAGTTGTTGAGGTTGCGGTTAAAGTGTTTTGCACGTCACTGACGAAGGTTGGCAGCTGATATTGACAAAGTGGATGTACACATAAACATATGCATGTGTGTATGGAGATTAGGGTGGTTTAGTCGAAATTTAATGCTCGCACATTTAGTATTGCTCTATACCGAAAAAAGATATAGCCCTATTTTTTATTTTGAAAAAAAATAAAAATATTTACAGGTCGCTCAAAGCACTCAAAGTTTCCCATGTATTTTATAGAAATGGTATAAATTTGTTGAAAATCAATATTTTTCGGAACACTCTGGTTCTCTTCAGGAGACTTCCAAAAATATTGCCCAATTGTTTATTTAACCATTTTTTTAACAGGACCTATAAAATATAGTTACTATAACAAAATGGTTAATTAAATAATTGGTTATTATCAGTGGGAGTCTTCTGAACAGAAACAGAGTTTTCCGAACGAAAAATATTGGTTTTAAAGAATTCTATACCATTTCTACGAAAAACTGTTTTTCCCCATAAAAATACAAGGAAAATTTTGAGGGCTTTAAGCGACCTCTAAATATATTTTTGATTTCAAAATAACAAAATATGGGTATATTTTTCGGTATAGAACAATCCTAAGGCTGAGAGCATTAAAATTTCGACTTTACTTTTTCCCACATGCATTTTTGGACCACCCTAATGCACATACATACATTTATTTGTATATGTAAATTTCTGCACAAATGTTTCCGCAGTGGCTATTAAATATATACTCTTGTGGGGGTGAGGTTGATACCTTGTGTTAACCTTGAGGATATAGCCGTCGTTTATTCATAAATCTGAAAATTGTGTGGTAGAGCTAATCGCTTGACAAAGAGATGTATTGTTTAGCCAAAGACAATTTTGAGAAATTTTCAAACTAAGTACATATATAGATATGTAAGTATGCAGGCTCCTGTGGTGCTAATTCAATAGACATCTCTATCGTTTGGGTATCAGACCATAGTAACATACATTATTACGAAACAAATGCGGAATTGGATCTGAGCGGCAAGTTTCGCGAATTTCTAGGTATGGCGATCTCCGAGTGATCAAAATGTTATAATTAGGTAATGCAATTACCATTGAACAATAAAAAAATACCAATTTCCGATTTCACACCCCACCCAAAAAAAAAAACAAATTTTCAAAACATTTCCTGCTGTGAAAAAAACTCAGCTCCCACAAATGTTATTAGCTGTGTCGCTAATATTTAGTAATAATATTTTAGCGCTTACACAATATGCTTCCCCTTCGAATTGTGGTGTGCGCCTTGATGTTTTCTCACACAAAGGGGATGGACCTAAAGTTTTACACCGACTGCGAACGGCTGTTTTTCATGGCTGAATACACGCGGATGTCTGACATTGCAAGCTGAGGATGTTATTAACAAAAAAAAACTTTTTTGTTTTTTATTTTCCATGTTGTTCGGAAACTGGGCTTGAACCCAGGCTGTGCGAAATGGTGGCGCGCACTGCTAACCACTATACCACAGCGGCCGCTGTATCGCTGCTGCCTTCAAAACAAGGCTGGAAAGTGTTTTCCGAACAAAGTGGAAGAGACACTTTAGGGCACCAGCCGAACCATGACCAAACTGAACACCCGTACGTGGTAGTCGAACCTAAAGAGAGTTTTGCTCCACCTAAGCACAATTAATTTAATTCGTTGGGTTAAAGTTTGAACTTTTTTGTCAAAAATCCAATTTTAATAAATGGGCAATTATTCCATTGTGACTGGTGGGACATTTTACTGCAGAATGTAATCAATTGTAAATTATAACTAAATATGTCATCGGATCTTATACAACAGTAAAATATATTTTTTAACATAGAGCGATAAATAATGTATAAAATTCAGTTAAACAAATTACCAAACGATAGAATGAATGTGACTGAAAATAACTATATTTTACCTTTGTGCACGCAAATACGAACTTTATCCAAAACAATTAATTTTCAAGAGAGATGTTTTTGTGTTGTAAAATATGAACTATACGCCTGCGTTTTCAATTAAAATTTGGTGGATATAATCTTCATAGAAAAAAATAAAAAAATACTTGAAGTTGTTGTTGGCGGGACAAGTCCTGTGACTGTGATAAAGTAATTACGTATGAAGTCAAGTTTTACAATAGACAATAGTTACAGCTTCTTTTTTATTTCTTTACAACAGANCTGTGATAAAGTAATTACGTATGAAGTCAACTTTTACAATAGACAATAGTTACAGCTTCTTTTTTATTTCTTTACAACAGATTAATGAATGAGTTCATTCTCTAACAAATACTACAAAAAAATTTAACAAATTTTCAACTAAATTTTCAAATTTCTAAATTTTTTCTCAGAAGTGTTAAGTGTTAGAAATTTTTGGGGTACACTGTTTTATAGCCCCTTCAATTTTAGTCTAATAGAGTGCAAGTTTGAAGTGGATAAAATTAACGGTTATTTTTTATAGGATTATTTTTTCGCCGAAGGTGTTGTGGGTTTCTTCCATATATATAGAAATAAATTGTGTGTATTCGTTATATTGGAAGCAAATGCAACAATAAATCATTCTAAAAAACCAACCGCAATCTTTAGCTATTTGAAACACTAACATTGAATGGGCTGTAAAACTGTGTACTCGAAAAAATTCTACAACTTCCGGGAAAAAGGTTTGAAATTTTGGTGAAACTTTGCTGAATTTTTCTGTTGTCTTTTACAAAGTTTTAAACTTGGGTTTATATGGGTTATGTTAGAGACTGAACTGTATTTTAATTGAAAATTCTGAAAAATAAATAATCAAACTGCGTTGGCAAACAATATCATTTTGAAATGGCAGTGCTATAGATATGGACAATACTGTATATGAAAAAAGTTTTAGTTTGAAAAAAGGTAGTTCTGTGGAGAAGCGTACATGAAGCGAAGCTGCGTGTGCCTGCGCAAACGTGAGCAAAGAAACAAAAAAAAAAAAAAATGAAATGAAAGACAGACAGACAAGGCTAAATCTATTCAATTCGTCGTTCTGATCATTTCGATATACTTTTTTATGGGTCTATCTCTTCTTCTTCTAGTACTTACAAACATCGGACCAAAATTATGTATAATACCACTTCAAGTTCATGAAAAGTATAAAAACAAGCAGTTATTTCAATATTTTTTGGGATGTTTGCATGAACTATAGTGAAACTGAAAATTGCTAATGATAAAATATCTTGAAAGCCAAGTCAAGGAAAAAATAGAATACAAAATTTTTACTTTTGGCTTCATAATACCGAAAATTCCTCACTATTGTTCTTAGAATGGAAAGTCATTGTAATTAATTTGAATAAACAATAAATCAACCGCTACTTCCGACTTCTCTATTCTCATTTTCCGGCCTTGCCATTCATGTAAACCCCATTAATTTCAACAATTCTGACATTTTAATAAAAACAAATATTAGTATGTCATTTCAGTGATGGTGACTTGTCATCGCTGCCCAATTCACAATCCACCAGCAAATAGTCACGACATACATACATACATACTTACTATACAATCTCATTTTCAATGGATTGTGAAAACTGTCTCAATGTGACACAAATGATGTGCGCAATTATGCGCAACGGACTCAAAAGCCGGGCTATCGAGCTCAAGACACAAAAGCAAGCACAGAAAAATATGCCAACATAGCAATGGCGTTTGTATTAAAGTATGCAGATGTGATTTTATGAAGTTTTCCTTCCTTTTTCCAACGCCTTTAACCGATGACAATCAATTCAAACAATTCGGTGATGGATACAATTACAAATTTGTGATTTTAATCTGCAGGAATGAATGATTATAGGCTGGCAGATTGAGGTTGAAATGAGACGTTGATATCATATTTATACAGACTCAAATGCATAAACATACACACGAACAAATATTTATGATTAAGACTGAGTGTTTTTATATTATACATTCTTATGTAGGTATGTATGTTTGTTTTAGGTGGTGACAACTTACCCTTATCAGTTTCAGGATTACGTTGATTTTCCTCAAATAGCATACGCAGTTGGTCTTCTTGCTCTTCGGTCCAGGCGCCTTTAGCGCTATTGAGTGCAATGGAAGAAAAAGAAGAATAAGCAGAAGGATAAAAGTCAGCATGTTAGTAAATATATCACAAAGGTGAAAGGGTGAGTATGGGTTTATATTGTAATACAAAGAAGAAACAATCATTTATCATTTCATCAGCAGGCAGCCAAGTGATACATGAATAGCTCAACTGCCGCTGTCACTAAGGCAACTATGCCGCTAGCCTGTGGTTCGACATAAAAGTAGAATTTATTCAATAATAGCTGCGGTTAGATGAAAAATACTCCAGGGGGAGCTAAGCACTTACAGGCAGAGCAAAGGACAGCTGCTGCTGCCACTGCTATTCCCTTTGCTATTTTATAATTATATATACGCTTACTTACGGCTCATATGCATCACAATAGCCGCCTTCCAACTCGTTTGCCTCTTTCATCGTTTTCCAGAATAATAATTCAGCGAAGATTTTCGGATTTGTGGGCGCCACTTCGACAAATTTACGTACAACATAGATACCAAGACGCCGCAGCTCTTCATGATGAGTATCACGTTCGACGCTTAAAACGCGTTGAAAGATGCGAAATAGTTTTGCCTGTAAATAGCAAGAGAAATAAATCAAATAATAAATGAATAAGAAAATTACAAAATGAGCAAAGTGAAAGAGGAGTAGAAGGGGTAAAAGGTGGAGTGTTCAAAAGTTTATGACTTCTTGTTGGTAAATGGCTTGGAACTGTGGTTAGCCGTTAGTTGGTGCCGGCAGAAGTATTCCTGAAGTTTACTATTTATAGTAGTAATTATGCGCACATACATGCTCCGTGGGGAGCAAAAATGAGTACACGGTGATTTTAGTTAAATATTTGCAGGGTTTTTAAAGATATTTTTTTTATTATTATTTATCATAACAGACCAAAACCAAAAAAACTTGTTAACCTTTGTATAGAGCTTGGACAAATTTAACCACTTTTCATTAAAATTTCAACTTTTTTTGATATTTTTTTTTGGTTACGGATTTTGCACTTTTTTTCGATATAACATGAACTTTTTATGGACGAAAATGCGCAAAACCGTTTGCAAAGAAAATTAAAATAAAATCAAAGCCAGTTTTTATAAAATGCACTTATACGAAAAAACCGCAAAAGCCGTCAGAAAAAAAATCTTAAAATCAACGCGATTTTGCAGCCGCTTAAGACTTGCGCTTTATTACACTAAAATTTAAAGGGCTATGGATGTTACTGAAAAATTTGTTAAATTTTTCTAAGCTTTGTATAAAGTTTGAGAGTTTAATTTATATAGTTTATGACAAAATATAGTTATGACAAAATAACAAAAAAAAAAAATAACTTTAAAAACCTTGCAAATGTTTAATAAAAATCACAGAATACTAATTTCTGCTCCCCACTGTATATTACTGTGGTCCAAAAAAGGGAAATCCACTTTTTGAAATTTTCCCGCGGCTAGCCCCAGATTTGAAGAATATTGAAAATAGGACAGTTTCGAACCGGCACGCAGTGTGAAATTATAGAATGATTTTAGTGATAAAAGGCTGGAGGAGTAAAATTTTAACAGAATTGAAAATACATTTTTTTAAATACTTGGAACGGATTGCAATCAAAATCGGAGGTCTGTAATACGACCAAAATATAGAGCTTCCCCGACTTAGTAATTTGTAATTTTGCGTTTTTCAATAAACAAACATTCTTCCAGTTTAGAAGGGGTAGGCAGACGGGTCTAGTACATCCTGTATAATAATTCGTACTTTAAAAATAACGAAAAACAGTTCCTTATGTTTTTATTAAGAAAACAAATCGCACACTTATATTTTTGGAAATCATAAAATTTTAACTTACACGCACGATTATGCGTACACCGTTACAGGTATATTTAATAATTTCATAAAAACTGTGTACGACCTACTCCGACCGACATTTCTGGTGCGCGAATACCTAATCGCATATACAACAACTATGCACTTATAAACTAAACCACGGAATTATGCGGAATTCTATAACTTTTTTAATAATTTATCAGAGTATTTTTTTTAATCAGAGTATTTTTTTAATCAACTTTATAAAAAATTTAGGCTTTGTAACTAATTTTAGAAGAAGACTCCATTTTACAGAATCCAAATTTTTAAATCTATCTCAAAATGGTGTCACTACAAAAAAAACACATGTCGTTTGCTTCAGTTGCTCTATGCAAGAAACTATTTGTGTGGCCCAAGTTTTAAATATCAGAAATATTTCTTCTTTTTCGTAGCCGCATTTTTTGCAGAACTAATTTCAATAAGTAAACTATTTTTATTTAAAAAAAGATAAGGTCAATTTAGCTTATATATGAATATTCACGAGTACACACACAGCACACACAGTTTGGGAGGCATCACTGAATATGTGGCAAACTAATTTTAAAATCACCAATGCTCAAATGCTGGTATGTATGCTAGTCGGCCAAACGAATATTATAACTAATTACACCGATATTTTTAGGTTCCACGACTACACAGCTTATCGTTCTTGGGAATAAGTTCTTCGCAAGTGTTCTTTTTAGTTGCGAATGATTGGGAGGACGACTGGATCACGGACCTCCAAGATAATCCCACAGCGGTTCACCGGGATGGCTTCAAACTAATTCTCCAAACTCGAATGACCTCCAATTAGGCCGCGATTTTAGGCTGCCACAGTGTTTTCCAAGCAGAGCTTGCGGTCATAAAAGAGGTCTTTGCCATATCGAATCTTCTTTTAATCTGTCTTCAGTACCCATATACATATGTACTTATCCATGCAGCTGGAATGCTGTAAAAACCTCGCCAAAACTGTGATAGAATGTAGAAAAGTTCCTAACAAGCTAGGTACAAACTGTGCTACCGACATTGTGTAGGCGCCAGGTCATAGAGTCATACGAGGTTACCTTATGACAAACGAGCTTGCGAAGAAGGGAACCACCCTGTCTGACGTCAACCCCTCTCACGATGTGGGCATACCGGTACCTACCTGCAAAAAATGGCTTAAAATAAAGTTTGTCGACAAGACAAATAAAGGTACGTCGGAAGAACTCACGCGAGGGATGATACGGTGCATCTGGCCTAGCTTCGGCAGGATAAGAATAGCGGCCAGTGACGGGAATTATAACAGCTCTCTTTTTGATGGTAAGCTGTTACAGTGTCTCTGTCATTGCCTTATCAGATGCTAGCATCTTTCTCATTTCATAATCGCCTCTTTGGCTGATTGATGGACCTAATAGGGAATTTACATGAGGCGATTTTTCAGGCGATTTTTAGTTGAATGCAAAAATCGCCTGGTGTAAACGGCCTTTCAACTAATCGCTTCTTTCGTTCAACTTTTGGTTCAACTAATCGCCTGTGAAAGTTGAATCGTGTAAATTCCCTATAAGTAAACTGGATCAGGCAACCGCTTAAACTTTACATAACGTAAACTAAATTTGATGACTACATGCAAGTGGGGACCAGTAATGGGAATGTACGGCTATCTAATTTGTAAGAGGATATTCTAAGATAACAATGTAGGAGCGCTAAATGATAAAAAAAAAACGCCGATACACATAAATTTAATTTTGGGTCGTAGACTACGGATCTGTATGTCGTTTTTCTAGATGAGGAAATTTTCCGAGATATTTTCTCATTAAGTTTGCATTGTGAAGGAAAAACATTCAAACTTGAACATGCAAAATGTTGCGTACGATATGGCGTATGAGTAACATTATTTTATCATACGCCACGATACACCCGAGTAACACGCTTTACTGCTCGAATTTCATATAAAAAATCTTTGCGCATTTTCATTTGACCACTCATATTTCGTATTTATCCATCGATTTTCTTCATCAGTAACTTAATTTTTATTTTTTTTTTGTAACAGAACAGAACAGAAATTTAGTATAAATGCGAAAATTTGGCACAGAACCTGTTATTTTTTAAACTTTTAATCTTCATTTTCCGTGTTTTATATTAAGATTTTTAAATTGGTTCGTAAGATATACGTGATTAAAAGGAACCAATTGTTGCTTTAGGCTGAATAACGGTAAATTGAAATATGTATCTCGAAAACGTAAAAAAAAAAAATTAACTCGATTTTCGGAATCACCGAGCAATTCTACATAGGCCTTGGATAGTGGCGTCTGGAGAACAAACACCAATTTAAAATTTGTGATCCAGTGTTTTCAGTTAGTAGCTTGATCTTTTGAAAAAAATTTCATTTTTTTGATTTACTCCCTGTTAAAATTTTTTTTATTGAAGGCTACTAGATATGAAGTTTAAAATCAAGGTTATATTCAATATATTAAGTTTAAGGAACAAATTCAAATAAAATAAACTGCATAAAAACATTTCAAACAAAATACATACATACATATTTACTATTCATATGTAGTTCTCCAAAATTTGCTTTACTGAAAAAGATTTCATCACATAATTGATAGCAGGAGCTTAACATTTCGTAGTTGGTTTAGAATCTTGCAGCAATTTTTTTACTTGCCAAATTTTTAATTTAACTCACAATATTTCAATGCTTTAAGGCCGCCAAAGCGTATACATGCCATGATTTATGAGCTAACTATTGAAAAATCCTTTGCGCGTGGTTTATTTAAGCTTTTGTTGCAAAGCAAATTACTACAGAAATAAATTATTGTTTTTAATTTTTTTCAAGCTGCTTTAGGCACCTATCAAGTGAAATAAGCAAACGGCAAAAAGAGGATAAAATATGCTACAAAAATATTTTGAAAGGGAAAAAATGGAAGTGCACAAAATATGTTTAATTCCTCTGCTTATGGCACCTAGAAATTTATTTTGTCTGCATTACAGTGCAACTTCCCCACAACTCAGCCTTGGATGGTGGCTGCCACTTGAGGAACATAACGACAAACAAGTTTGGCGGCAGGATCAGCAGGCGTACCACTGTTCACTCTGTGGAAGTTCAAGTTCATTTAATTTGTACAAAATGGGCGCACGGAACAAAAAAGGCGCAGCAAAAATCTCGTATGGAGCCAATAATGGCAAGGAGCAGCAGGAGACCACAATTTCTTGCTGCTATTTACACAGCCTTCCCGGAATTTACTTTTATACATACAATAATGTATATAAGTGTGCATACAGGCAGCAAGTCAATTTGGTGTCCGCAGGAGTCAACAGACGTTATCGCGCCAGGCCAGACTGAACTAAGCCAGCCTAGGCCGTACGCGACCAACAACTCACGCTCGACGTTACGCCTGCCTGCGGCTGTCGCTGTGGTTGGTTGTGGCTTGAATTGATGCCGGCAATCCCGTATTGCACACAAGTAAACAGACACATACGTATGAATAGGCAGCAGAGCGCACATTTTCCAACACAAATTCTTATATTTTTAAGTAGCTACATATTTTTCTATTTACACTCATTGGTAGCGGCTGCTGCTGCTGTGCACTTTACTAGGATATTTTCCCGGTGACTTTGATTTATGTTTGCTTTGCGTGCGAGAATACGGCGGAAATTTGCCAAGCGCAAAACAAATCAACGGGCAGCAGCATGCAAACAAACAGAACCAGTCAGCCATACATATGCATACATACCATCGCAACTATGCATGTTTGTATGTATGCAGG